TTGGCCAGCCTTCTGTAGGTATTTTCAGATGCAATTAAGCAGCTATCTGCCAAATTCTGTTAAGCCTCAGGCTTCATCTTGCATTTGAACACACTGTTGGATCGAGTGCTGATTCTGTGTGGCTACCTCAGTTTCTCTAGAAATATAGTATTATGTAGATTTATTTTTTTTATACAAGAATTCTATGAGAGTAAGAAAACTTCCTGCTCTTGAGAAAAGCCTGAATTGAGGTTTCTTAGATGTGACATCTCTCGATCAAGTAAAGAAACTGCCCCTGCACCTGATAGCAACCAAGACCTGAATGTATTGATGGTAGAAATAGGTCAGGACTCATCTTTGGCTCATTGTCCTGAGTGAATGTGGATAATAATTGTGGAGTCCTGACTCTCTCTTGGGCTGATGCTGGAAGCTAAAGGCTCCTCTGCCTTTTAGACAGAATTGTGAAACACTGTTCTTTAGCACATTAAAGCTAGAGCTTATTGATGCCAGAGATTTATGACGTTATTTTTAACTAGTAAGTTTAGGCCTTGCAATTGTGCTTCAATTAAAAATTATATGTTAAGTTGGCTTATTTAGTAGCATACTTACTATTTCTTTTCATCTAACTTCCATTACTGCTAAATATTTTTAGTGAAAATTTGACAAGTTCCTCTGCAGCTACCTAATATACTTAAGGATAAAATGTTTTGTTGGATTTGTGTCAGCAGAACAAGGCAGAAGACTAGTAGTAATGCTCAAAACCTTTTACTTTTCTGTAGTATTTTTGAAAATAATTTGTTGTATGTTAATATCTGCAGCTTTTAGGTAGGAACAGGGATTAAATGCTCAGTTTCTAGTTCAACTCATTGCTAACTGTGATATTTTGGAAAGGGGTGTCCTGAGAGCTTTTTCAGATGTTTAACTGCACAATCCCTTCTTCATAACCCCAAAATGTTGGCTCATTTTATAACTGCCACAAATGAATGGTGACTCTGCCCTGCTGGGTGGAGAGGCTTTGGGTGATGTTCACCACGCCACTTCCCAGACCATGGCCTTCACGTGAACAAAAGGCTGACACCTGAGGAAAAAAAAAACATTAGAAGAAATAAGGTAACTTCACTTTGGTTTACAAAAACAGCTGTGGAGCTCCTTCAGTTAATTGCAGGTGGCTGGAGCCTATGTTTTCCTTCACAGCAACCACACCTGGTGTCAAAGATCAGAACTTGGTGTCGGTGTTGCAGCTACCTCTAACCCCCTAAAGGCCCTTTTAACTTCCATTGAGTCACAGGGTTGTATTTTACACTACACTATGAAATTCTTTCTTTCTAAAAGTGATACTCTTGCGACTGTGCTAGCTGAGGCTTTTGTTCAGGAATCCAGCTCTGCTAGTTAGAGCAAGCCACAGGCTCTGCAGAGGGCCAGGATCTGGGTCTTGAGTGTTTGCTCAGATATCTGTGAAGAGCCAGAGGCTGTCACTTGGGTATCAAAAGAATTGACTTGCCTGGGAATTATTCTCTCTTGGTCACAGCAGCCACCTCCACCACCTCCTTGGTCATCTGCAGCTCCTCTGGCAGGAGCAACACCTGGCCGGGGAGGAAGATGCACAGGTCTGCTCTCCTGAAACCTTGTGGCAGGACACAGGGCAGGTGTCCTAAACGTTATTTAAATGTGTAAGAGCGTCCGGATTGGGTCACAGAATGCAAAGCGGATGGAGCGAGTCCCTGCAAACACAGCCGGGGCTGGGAAATGGCTCTCTGAATTTGAGGGGAGGGGAATTACCCTGTTAAACAGAGCAGTCATGGATTACTTGAGTCTGGCTTCAGCTACAGGATAATGCCTAATGCTTGCCTAGCTCTTTGAGAATACAGTGTTAAATAAACATGAACTAATCCTTGCAAGAATGTGTCCTGTGCTGGCTCTGCCTCTCCTGCAGCAGCTGCTGGCTAAGAGTGCTCCCAGGCTCTGGCCTTTTCTACTCATTAGGAAGAATGTGGCTCTGTCATGGTTGTTTCATTTACCTCTGATTTATTAATGCTAAGAGTATTGACTGAGAAGTGGTGTTGCCTTACAGGAGCATTGAAACATCTCAAGAAAAATAAAATATGTGAGAAAGAGCACTGCAGTTGCAAACCTGAGTGTTGCTTACTGCCCGCTAACGTAGCGATGTATCGGGGCTTGGAGCTTCGCTGTGCCCAAAGCAGCCCTGACTGTTCGTGCTTGCTCGCTCCTCCTTCCTCTTTTTTCCCCCTGCAAAGTCTACCTCAGACTACCCGAGGTTTTGCCAAGCAATTCTGGCCTACAAACAATTTTGCCCTCGCTTGATGATCTTGCAGTGGGTCACAGCTCTGAAATGGTTCAGCAAAGGGTCTGGGCAAGGATGGGGGGAGTGTGTGGGTGCGCGAGTGGGACTGGGATCCTCACTGCTGCGCGTCAGCTACCTCAGACAGATCAGATCAACGAGAGCAAGTGAACGTGTCCTTCCTTCAGGGTAAAGCTGAGTTGTGTGAAAAGATCACCGGGGGCTGGTGGTGGAGAGCATGCTCGCTGCTGCAACAGGGGACAGATTCAGAGTCTAGCCTCAGAGGGCTTGAGCCAGTTCTAGGAGTGTAAAATTAGGTTTAAAAGCCGCAAGGAGTACAGGTTTTGTATTTTTTTTTAGGTGCATTGTTTTGAAACTAGCATCTGGACTGATTGTGAAACCTGTAGGCTGCTCAGTAAATACACAGCTACAGTCCTAGAACAGGCTGTGAAATCACCACAGTTGTTTTTAAGGAGTTCTTTGGAGAAGAACGAGTGATCCGTGTCAATATACAGATCCCCTCAGGTACCCTTCTCAGGGAAACATGTAGGACCACTCACTGAGTCTGAGGAGGAAAGGCCCCCTTGCTTGACGAAACCCACCCCATTTCATCTTTTTCAAGGGCTGCAGGAGATCATCCTTTGACCTCTGCTTTATTTTGCCATTGTTTCTGCCCATGTGGCAGAAGGGCTGGCAAACATTTCTCTAGACAATAATGGAGTGTAATCGTGTCTTTTCTGCTGTTGATACATTGGCTGTTTGATGTGTTCCAAGTTGCACACAAACCGGTGGTAGAGGGAGCTCTTCTGGACCTGTTCCTCCAGGGGAATTGCAGAAGAAAGCTAGCTTATGTACCTTAAAAGAGAAATTTAGGGGTGGAATGTGGATTTTATGGCTTAGCTTGGTTTTTTTGGGGGGTACAGTGGAAGGTGGTGTTTCCAAATTCTTAGGAGAGCAATCGCACACGGTTACACGCTGTCAAACATATCAAACTGAGATCGTTGCTGTGCCTACTCCTTTTGTGTGTCTTTGCCAGTTACAGAGTGTGTTATGGAGGTGACACGATTTTTGCATGAAACTGCTCAGATGGCCTGTCTAGCCCTGAGGGGAGTGTGTTTGTTCCATCTCAAGTCTCTGAGTTTCAAAACGAGGGAACGGCAGAGCTGAGCATCCCTCTCAACAGGAGGGCACACCTTATAACTTGGCATTTTGAAACCAAGATTTGAGCCTCTTAAAATTGGAAAAAGAAAGCAAGAACAAAATCAATCAACTCCTTCAATGAAGGCTGTGGTTGGTTTTGTTTGGTTTTTTTTCCTTTGCATTCCAGTTCTGGTTCTTTGACCTGGGACTAGAAGGGCTGGAGTGAGGGAGACAGTGCTGTGGATGGGGAACTGCAGGTGGCCCAAGAAAGAGCCGACCCCTGCAGCTGCCCTGTCTCTGCCTGCCTCGGTTGCTCTGTGTGCGCGGTGCCTCGTGGGCAGCTTTGTCCTGCATAAAGCCTCTTCTCAAGATCTGTTCTTCATTCAGGCATCTGCGCTACAAATGCTTTTGCAATCGCTTTAGTTATTTATTGCTTTTTTCCGCTCTGGTACCTTGGTAAAAGAGACTGAAGATATTGGAGTGAGTGTCCTGTACGTGGGTAGCAGGATCGTGGTAGTGCTATGGTGAAACAAAAGGGTATCTTGGGACTTTTGTATCTGAGTACTCTCTGCCGGGCTGGAAAGCCAGCCCTTATGGAGTTGTAGCCTGTGGGAGCGAGGGGAAATGAAACTAGATCTCCTTTCACCAGCATAAATTAACCAACATTAACATTTTAAAGAATTTGAATCCTCTGCATGTGTACTAACTGGAGATGACAGCATTGTGTAAGAGGACTTTATAAAGGTTCTTCTAGCAGTGCTTCCTTTTTAAGCTGTTTGTTCAGTTTTGTTTTAACGACGCGTTCGTCCTGCATGGACATTTGAAGAGCTCCATGCCACATAAGGTACACTTGGCACGTTGTTGGCTTATTTAATGCAGCATCCTGAGCTCTTCTGGGAAGGAGTTGGTGCCTTGTGCTTCTTCACACGCGGCATCACTGGCCTGTGCTTGCAGGGAGCAGGGTGGTTCGGGCTGGGAAGGGAGCCATGCTTATCCTGCGGGCAACAGGCCTTTGAGTTGCTTCTCGAAAACTCATGCTGCTAGGAAAAACAACTTCATTTATACTGAGAACCTCCTGCTGCCTTTGCGCAGAAGCCTGGCTGAGGGCTGAGAATCTGTGCTTCGCCATTGCTAATGAACTCTCTTTTCTTGCAGGCGTGAATGACAGAGGAGGTGCCCCCGACTGCACTTACGGACGTAAACCTGCGTCTTCTCTGCCACGATGACATAGACACGGTGAAACAGCTCTGTGGCGACTGGTTCCCAATAGAGTACGTTACTGGTTTGGGGTGTGACGTGGCGAGGATCTAAAAACAAATGGTGTTAACCTGTACTGGTCCAGTTCAGAGCTGACGCCAAAGGCTCCGCAGCCATCTGGGCTGTTGCCAAGAGAGCAATTCTGTATCTTTTATGTGCTGTGGTGGAGTTCTGGTAACGACCCTTCACTGCCTGTCCTGCAGGGTCCTAAAGTCATCGGGAAGTTCCCGTATGCAGCTTCTGGCAGACAAATGGGCTTTGTTAATTAGAGGGGGGTGGATCAGCTTCTCAGGAGAAAGGACAGCATCCCTGTGCTTGTGAAAGAGAGTTGTGTTCTTGGAGTGTGTGCCCAGAAAGCACCCTCAGAGCTGACCCAAACCGACACCAAGCAGCTCTTCCTGAACGTCTTTCTGAACAGCCCCGGGGGAGGCTGAGCAGCACTTGCCCGTCTACTCAGGATCACTGTTGCTCCCACAGCTCTGGTGAAGATCTGGCTTAAACCTGATCTCACATCCCCGTTTGGTAAATGCTTGTGTCTGCACAAGCATGAGAATAAAGAGCTTTTCTGGGGGACAGTGATAGCTTTCTGGCTTAAAGCATCCAGGGAAGCTACAGCTGTACACTTCAAGGATTTTTCTCTTTTTTTCTTTAGCTTTGTTGAGAAGGTTTATAGAGGATTTTAGCGGATTGTAATTAAGAGTGTATAAAATATAACAAAACCAGCAAAAGCATTCATAATATTTTGAATTTGTAGATTTTTTTTTAAACACAAGGTATGCTGAACTCTCACTTTGAAATAAATTAGTGTACGCTAGTTTCCCTTTAGTAGCTGCAGAAGGAGAGGAGAACTGAAGGCTGGTGATGTGATTTTTTTTTTTCTTTGTACCAATGTACAGTATTTTTTTACATGCATATCAAATTAATGAGATCCTTACGCTCTTAGATGAGAGCAGATGGATTTTGCATTTAAAAATAACTTGCTAAAGATGGAAGTGAGAGCTCTGGGCAATGAATACAAAATGAAAACGTGGTTGTCTTAGCAAGGCAGGAGGCCATTATTACATGAGCAGCCTGCATTGCTGCTTAGATGTGACTGAAAGAAACCGTGCGGCCAGACTGGTCATCGGTACCATGCAGCAGTTAGGGCAGGAAAAATGAAAAACTTCCTAACCCAGACTTAATGGAAGAAGCTAAATTGGTAGCAAGAGCTTTAGCTTGACTGGCTGTCCGTCCGTGGAGGAGATGGTCCGTTCGGTGGTATGGCTTCCCTCCCTGAGTCTGGCGTGAAATACGTTGCCCTGCAGTTCCAGTGAATGGCGCTTAAGGGTCTTGCTGCCTGTTTCCAGTTGAGCAACATGCTCCCGTGGGCTCCGTGTCACCACACTTTCCTGGTTTTATTTCCTTCCCAGGTACCCTGACTCATGGTACCGAGATATTACTTCCAACAAGAAGTTCTTTTCCCTCGCAGCCACATATAGAGGCTCCATCGTGGGAATGATAGTGGCAGAGATCAAGAGCAGAACAAAGGTGCATAAAGAGGTAAGCTACGAAACGGTGCTTCAGCGTGATAGTCCACCTCCTGCCATGGTTAACCGTGGTGGAACGTCTCAGAGCGTTTGTCCCCCTGCTCCATCCAGAGTGATCCTGAGTTAATTTCGGAAGCCAAGAAGGTGCTGCTACGCAGCTCACGGGCCATGGGTGGCGGGATGTGTCTGAGCGCATGGGCTGCCCCGCAGCCTGGTGTTGTAGAATCTCTTCCTGCTGGGGCTAGGCAGCTGTGGCCCGACGGGAAGCTTGCTGCCTGCCGTGCTGTGCAGGGACATCAGATGGTGCAGCCATAATCCCAAAGTGACTGCCTGGCTCTTCTCCATGTGCTGGCTCATCGCTGGTGACTGAGATACACACAGCTGTGGGAGAAGGAACCTCTTTCTTTCTTGTGCAAGGCTTGAGCTGGGCGAGTCACTTCTAGGATTTCCTGCAGAAACTCCTTCATTTCCACAGTTGCTGTCTTGAGCACAAAGTGGAGGTAACCCATCTGCAGAAAGCTCCTGAGCTTTCTCCAGGGATAACCGAGCTTGGAGGCCGGGAGAGACAACACAGTGTGGCAGAGAGGTGAAGAAGACTGCATGAGAAAAGACCACAGGGTTAGTGTAGAGAAAACAGCACAGGCAAGTGGATTAGAAAAAAAGCAGTGGCAGTGCAGAGAATGTGTAACTTCTAAAAGGCCATCAGTGTTATGATTAAACAATTAATGTTCATAGGAACTGAGAGCAGTGAGTGGCATGGCTCTGTTCGCTCCAGCTATCTGGCTTCACCTCAAAGCTAATCGAAGTCAGAAACTGCATCTTCAGCAAGTCTAACAAAAGGCTCTTGTTCCAGCCAAGCTGGAAGCCACGGGCTTATTCAGACACCGCTCCGGGCAATTGAGCCCGTAGAACATGCTCCTTGTCCTCTACAGCAGTACAGAGATCTCCAGCTGATGACACAGGGCTCAGACAGAGCATGCAGGCAGTAAAGGCTGTTGCTAGATTGATGTAGACACTGATGGTTAACTCCAGAATTTACACATTGAATCCTTCCTGGTAAAGAGTGCCAGTATTTTCTGTCCCTAAGCACACAAACACTGCGTATAATAAGGAAATATCACTATTTGTGTTCTATCTCTGGGAAGATGATAGGAAAGGAGGAATAACCCCAAAGAGACAGACCATGCTTGGATTTTTTAAGTGCCTGTGTCTTCTCCAGAGCTTCATCTAAGACTGTCCAGTTAAGAGAAGTTTCCTGCTATTGCCTTATTTTCAGATGTTCCAGTTTGGGGTTCTTGCTTTCTGCCGTGCCTCCCCAGGTTAGCCTGCTAAATAACTTCTCATCTCTCTCCTCAGGATGGAGACATCCTAGCTTCCAATTTTCCTGTGGACACGCAAGTTGCTTACATCCTAAGCCTTGGAGTGGTGAAGGAGTTCAGAAAACATGGAATAGGTAAGATGCTGCCGTTTGCTACGTGTGGCTGGTGGGCATGACTGAAGGAGCTCCACAGTTTCACCGCAGTACCCTTCTGAGTCAAGCCTACTGGTGATTTGTACCAGCAGCTGGGAAGGTGACGCACTCAATCCCCTTCTTCGTGTGAATGCAGGTGCAGTGAGATATTTTTACTGATGTAGGCACAACACAATGTGCAAAGGTTTCTGAAGAGCATGAGGCTTTGTCTGTCTTGTTCCCTGGGGACAGCTGAGGACACCAAAAACTTGCTCTCCTGCTGCTGAGATGGACTGCAAGTGCTAGGACTTCACCCTGGAGAGGGTTTCCTTTCATGGGTCTCAGAAGCTTGGTCCCTGAAGCAGAAAATATAGCTGCTTTTAACCTTTTGACTTCGACAAACGTTTAGGAAAAGACAAACTGGAAAAGAGTGTAACTTGGACCTCATTAAATCTGTCAAATGCATGTGAAAGTCAGCTCTGGATGCCTGCTGCAACACGCAGCATTTTTGCAGCCATTTGAAAATCCTGCAATCAGAAGGGCTTATCTCCATTTAGAGTAGGAGCTGTTCTGTCATCAAATCACTGCCCTTCTGCTGCAGTTTCAAGTGTGAGTTATATCTTCGATCTGCAAAGAGAAATAAGGCCAGCTTTGGCAGCATGACCTGGTGTTGCACATCTGGAGTTTCTTCAGTGGATACAGGTATAACTTATCTTCCTCAAGTCCTCCCCCCTTCTCCAGTCACATTTAGAGGTACACACTGATAGAATACATAAAGAAATGACCAGAAGAGTCCTCAGTGAGAGGACTATGGAGAAAACTTGCCTTGAAATGCTATGGAGATAACTTCCATACAAAGAAGACACTAGCACAGAATAATGTTCAGAAAAGGTGGTGAAGGGGTCTTCTGTTCTGTAAAATTGTGGTGGCTTTGAGTCTCCTTTCACTTTCCAAATCCTAATTTTTTTTCCCAGCTCCATCTTGCTGGAATTTTCTCCTTTCAGATTTAGGATTTCCTATTTCCCTAACATCTATACAGCATGTTGCTGTGCTCTCTCAAAAACTTTAGTCGTGTACCTGTAGCAAAAGAAGCTGCTGCCTGCTGCTGCTTTTTCTGAGCCCTTTCTCTTGAGAGTTCATTTGTTTGAAGCTGAAGTCTTTCAGGCAGGAGGCTTTTCACCCCAGGCATACTTCTAAGCACTAAAGCTCTGATTTTTCTCCGGCAGACATTAAAAGGTTTTGGTTTCAGTTCTCTGCTATTCTTAAACCAGAGAGCAGCTGGCTTTCTGTGAGAGAGAAGAGTGGAATATCCCGTAACAAACTGCTCTGCTGTTGGTGTCTCTCTGTGTCTTTTTGTGCTTGACTGATAGAAATTCTCACCAAGTATCAAGTGCCCATGAAGTCAGTGCTGTTGTCTTCTGCCGTGCAATCCTTTGGGTCTTGCTGAAAGCCTTACGTGCCCTGAGGATTGTGAAACAGCAGCACACATCTCATTTGTGTCTTTGTGTTAGCCAAGCTATTTCTGTAGCTTGTTGTTGCCACTCCTGATGGAAGAAGTTCCCCTGCAGGTTTTGCCAGGTCCTTCAAGCCACGTTGAGGTGGTTTGGGTGAAGCTCCAGGTCTTGTCTCTTGGGGCTGGAGTATCCTCTGTGCCCTTCTCTGGTTTCTCTTGCTGATGAGTGGTTGCAGCAAATCCAGGTTGAATGAGGCTATGCCTCAGCTCCCCTCCTTAGAATCAGAGAATGTTAGGGGTTGGAAGGGTTCTTAAAGTCCTACCAGTTTTGAGTTTTTAGTTGTGAGTTCAGCAGACACAATGCAATAGCCTGCTTGGGAAATCCTGTTTTGGGAAGTCTTGTTTTGACACTCCTCTGGTTTAAATGGCTTTAAAACAAATAAATGAGATAGACCTGATACCGCTGAAAATGACTCACTGACCTTCCCCAAAACTGAGGGCTGCTTGGCTGGAGATGAGCATTCCTGTCAGATTCTCGTGTTTGGCTCATCATTGTGGTTACTGAATCAGGAGTTTCCACCTTTGTAAAATCTGTTTTGTGAAGCCCTGCTCATAGGTGAGATGAGATTCATATTAAAACCATGTAGCCTGGTCCTGTTAAATCCCTGAAGAGGATCCGTGAGAACTGCGTTGGATCTAGGGTCTTCAAGCATGTGCAGCGATCGCTGCTTAGATGCTGGGTACCGGAGCTCTCAGCCGTGACCTACAAACCCTTGCGCTGTCCCCGAGCAGGCAGCCGCTCTGTGTGATTCTGTTGCTCTTTCCTTCAACAGGTTCGCTCTTGCTCGAAAGTTTAAAAGACCATATATCAACAACGGCCCAAGATCACTGCAAAGCCATCTACCTGCATGTCCTCACCACTAACAACACGGCAATAAACTTCTATGAGAACAGAGACTTTAAACAGCACCACTATCTTCCCTATTATTATTCCATCAGAGGGGTCCTCAAAGATGGCTTTACCTACGTCCTGTACATCAACGGCGGACATCCACCCTGGACAATCTTATATCCTTTACCTTCCGCCTGATGAGCAGTGGAGCACACTAAGCAGACACAACACCGTGTTTTAGGTTAAAAATGGCAATCTAGCCACGTGTGAGCTGCTTAGATCTGGGGCTGATGCTTGCTCAGGTGCGAATTGAATCTGAAGGGAGGAGGAAGGTGATGTCAGAAGGATTGGACTGTGACCATTTGTGCCCAAGCCCCCCTGGCTCCTCTGGGGACAGTTTGGGGAGGCAGTGTAGGACAGCACGTTGAATTCTGAGTTGGGGCAAGTTTCATGGCAGTGATAGCAAAGCTGGTGTTAAGCCAAAGCGCTAGGCGTGCTTTGGCTTGTGGCGTGCAGGGTCTGGCCAGGAGCATGGCAGAAGAGTCTTTTGTCTTGCTTCCTGTGACTGAGGATCTCCTGTGACTCTGGCCTGGCCTGGATCTCAGCAGGCTGCTCCCAAACTGACTTTTGGAGCTTGTTTGAGGTCACCGGGTCAGGAAGAAGAAACTTGATCTTTCCTAGGTGTGCAAAGGGAACGAGCAGCTACTTAGAGGATGTATTTCACACACAAGCTAGAGCCAGTGTTAACCAAATTGCTGCCTTTTAATTAATAGGAGCAGATCTGTCTGAGCAGAGCAGCCTTCGCTGTGTCGTGGGATCTCTTTAGGGAGTGCTCATCCACAGAGTGTTGTAAGGGGTGTCTTAAGTTAGGGTGTAAATGTTGCTGCCCTTAACTGATGGCCACTGACTACCTACAGCACATTGGATCCACGCTAGCCAGCCTGAGCCCCTGTTCAATTCCCCAGAGGATATATCGACAAGCCCAGAGCCTTCTCTGCAGCCTCCTGCCCTGGTCTGGCATTTCTGCCAAGAGCGGCATTGAATATAGCCGGACGATGTGACTGGATGGAGAGGTGGACAAAAAGCAAAGGTGGGTACAGGGGGGTGGGAATCTCCCTTCTCTGCCCTAAGGCCACTGCCCTGGGGCAGCTGAGAACATGCTTGAGCACGGGCTGACAAAGCTGCAGCTCTGCTGCTGGACAAGCTGCCGTGTGAGGTGTCTGGGGCATCGCTGTGCTCCGGTCTCCAGCTGATGACCAAACTCCTACTGGAGTTGGAGCTCTGATCGTGTTTACTTGAGCCTGGAGCCTGCCAGCAGGTCGAACCTGTCCCTGCTGTTGCTCTCCTTTCCCCAGCTCTGTTAGACCAGCTTGCAAAACGGAGTGACTGAGTCCTCGCTCTTTCCCCAGCTCCGTGTCCCAGCATGGTAACGGGTAGCCCTTTTGCATCTCTTCACAAAGTCTTCAGGACAGCAGCTTCCCGGTACGTTTGAAGAGACCCATAACACTCGGTTTCCTTAAGACAGCTGCCCTCTTTTCTTTCTACAGGATTGTTCTTCCTTTCATCTCCTGAACCATCCAGCTCTGCACTGATCCCAGTGACGACGGCTCTTGGTCAGTGACCCAGCCCCAGGACGGGACTCCCTGTTCCACAGGTCGACTGAGATTTGGTAGACTTCACCCCCGATGGGCTGCAGCCCTGACTTACCCCACAGCCTGGAGCCCACGGGTGCTGCCTGGGCAGGCCTGGCTGTCCAACGAGGCGTCGGGCTGTGCTGTAGCTGAGGGCCCTTCGCCTCACCGGTCTGTGTGCATGTCGCACCATACCTGCAACTTCCCTTGCCTCTGGTTTGCTCCTATTTGTGTACGTCTTGTAGAGGGATTCAGTTGCTGCTTTCCACACCGTGGCTGCTGAAAGCAGCATGAATGAGGTTAACCCAGCCATGTAAATGAGCCGTAAGGGCTCTGGCAGCTGCTGCTGGCAGAATAGACAGTCGTGCTCTTGTTGCTGGGGAAGAGGGGGAGCGAGGATCATGTCTGCGGCCTGACAGCTCAGCTGCGGGTCCTTCATGCGGGTGAACGTCCAGGGAGGGTAACTGCCTCGCATGAGAAACTACCCAGCCCCGCCGGCCCTCTGGAATGATGTTTAAAAAAAAAAAAAGTAATTCAGGATTCATCAAGTAGAAGGCAGGGAATGAAATTGCTATTTCATAGTGAAATATATATATATATAAAATACTGTATAGATCTTTCTGCCTTTGTCCAAGTTGGAACATAGCTGGGGAGGGGAGGTAGAGCCACTGAGGCAGCCCTTCTCCACTGCGCGCACTCTCCTTTGGCACAGGGGCGGGGCTCTTGCAGGCTGGTTAGGGCCGAGCCAC